TAAAGCTAGTTTTTTGTTTATTTTGATTTTTTAATTTATTCAAAAAAATTTTTTAGTCTCAGAGTCCCATTTTCCTAACAAACCTCCCATATGATAAAATAGTTATCTCATCTAATAATATTCAGCGTTTAGTATTTATAGGATAGAGTATCTTTTTCTCAGACTTGACTAGAGATAATATGTGATTCTTTGATCAGATATCTACATTTTTAGCATAGAATACTTCCTTCCCAAAGAGACAATCTAGATATACTAAAGTCATAGGATCTGCCTCAGTTCGCATAGTCAAATCTTTAGCTTCTTGTTCTAATAATAATGACTTATCTATTGGAGCATCAAGCAATGATCCTTCTAAAATTAGCATATATAAATCCGTAGCCATCTTACCCATACCTTTTTTGTTAACCTCCTTATGTCTAGAATTCGTGGACTTATTAGCTAAGACATAGTGATATAATTTTACCTGAATATGCGTTGATAATGAAATTGCATTACCAGGAGTCTTGTTCTTATATTTACCAATAGTTTGATCCCATTAAGATTAAAGAGGTCAGGTCGTTCAGACATATCTTTATAGATATTCTCAGTCTCAGTTTTGAATATGAAATAGTCTGTATCCATATAACCTAGCTGGACCTTGTTACCATATCTTTCTTTTGCATATCCATACCAGAATTTGTACATGTGAAGTTTGCTAAGACCTAAAACAGATGCTCCAACTATGATAGGCTTGTTGAGAGTAATGCTAGCTTTTTCCATATGCGTTTCTACTAATGTAGGTCCTAGTGATCTAGCATAGTTAAAAGATGGCATGCAGATCTTATTCAAGAAAGCTTTTTTATCTCGCTCATTATTCATTTTCATGAACTTAACATCCTGATACTTATGAACATTTTCCATAGTCTTGCTAAATATTGCATTATTCTTAAGCTTGAAGAAGTCACTCAAAAATGTGTTTTAAGCTTTTTTAGCCTCATTACGTTTCTTAGTATTAAATGCTATATAGGAAGCTAGCCAGTTAGTTTGGTCGAATGATAGGATTTCTAAAACCTCATCTTTAACCATATCTAATTTCATATAATATTGAAGCTCTAGGTAATGAATAACATAATTCTTTCATGATCCAAGATGGAAACTAATTTTTTTGTTGCTGAGAAGTATCTTTATCCAATTTCTCTACAAGCTTAGCATTATATGAATATAGCATATTTTTTCCTACAGCAACATTCTCTACAGCTGGAGGCAAATCACTCAAATAGTCATGAGTTTTTAGAGGAAAATGAGCATTAATGTTTAGAAAATATTCTTGTTTTGAATCTAGCTTAATTCTAAGAGCTATATTGAGATATTTCTTTTGCATAGCTGAATTCTTAAGTAAATATTCCTGACTAGCTTTCCATTGATAATTTCCAATAGGTAAGTACTGACTCATTGCCCAGCCATAAAGGTTTGTCGCATCAATATATAAAATCCAGGTTGTTAGTTGAGATAGGTCAAAGTCCTCTTCCATCTTAGGATTATTGGTTTGGAAGTATTTTTGACAGGCCATAGATATTCCTCTACCTTTAGCTTTTTCTATAAAATCATGCTTATCCATATCTATAAAAAGCTCAATATTTACTCTGATCATTTTAAGCATAACGTCTCAGGAATATGATGGAAGAGAGACATAATGACTAGGATTAAGCCCATCATATTCCATAGACATTTTTCGAAGCTGTATCCAGATATCAGCAAGGCTGAGTACATCAGTCTTAAGATAGTGATCATGATATTCATCTAAGTTTTTACACCCAAAAGTGTTCTATATTTTTTGGGTATGATGGTAATCATCTTGTGAGATCTTACCACTTAGAATTCCATGAAATTCATGAATCAAAGGAAGCTTTGTTTCCTTAAACCTATCATGAGAATTGATATATTCATAGGAATAAACCCTCTTACGACCTACTAGTAAAATTTTTCCATCTGAATAGCCTTAATTCTTAAAGTGTTGGCTTGTTATTAGAAGATTCACCCAAGTTTTTCGTAAAATTAGCCAGGCTAGTGTTCATAAATTGCATGCTATCTATATATTTAAGTTGACCTACCTTCATGGATTTATATCGCTCAAAAGTTTCAGCTATAACTTTGATCTGATATGCATTAACAGATTGTCCGACAGATTCACAGACTAAGTGAGAGTCATAGCTTCAAAAGTTATGAAAGATTACTAGGATAGAAGTTTTCTATGGCTCAATCTGGAATTTGAGATTACAGGTATTATAAACTGATCCTCAGAACTTACCTGTGATATGATAGTGGTCCCAAACCTTATTAGCCTTAGCTTTTCACTAGCAATTGCCTTGGTCACTTTATCAATAGTTATTAGGATTTCATTATTTTTTGCAGATCCTTTTTGAATGCTTCTAGTTTCTTTTTAAGACTGATTATTTTATTTTCTAGTTGCTCAATTTCCTTTATATTTATATCAAACTTGTCTTTGCAGATCCAACAGCTAACTGCCTCAGCAAATTTTTTCTTATCTTTAGCAGTCTCAATTCGATCAGCTTTAATGGCTAAGACCCCATTAATACAAACGAGTTCCTGATCAATTCTCTGAATGAATTCTTGTGTAGCATTTTCTCCTCTGTATAGGAAAGGATCCCATACATTTCCTGTATCTATCCAGTAGATTAGATAGCAGAAACTATTAGCCTTCTGTTTAGCAAGTTTATGCATACTTCTACTATATGCTTTATTACACTTTTTATTATCAGCTTCAAAATCAGCTATAATTACACATGAAGCATTAATCATTCGGCTATAGTTCTTGAATTGCTCAAAATCATTGAACCTTTTCACTGATAGATTAACTCTTTGGGTCACCTCTCCTAATTCGAAACAATATTCTCAATGATGGTCTAAAGATTTTTCTGAGGGAAAACTATGTGTACAATGTCTGCAAAAATACTTCTTTTCTTTATGTGCAATATCTTCATATACTAATCCATTAATATTTTTGACCCATAGGAAGTGATTCTTTTGCCTATACTTGACTGTGTCCTCTGATTTGATAATATCTGTAAGGGCTAAAAGATCGACTATATATGATCTTTTGTAATTCTTACTAGCAATTACTACCTTTGGAGTAGCTATTCTTTATTCCACTCCCAGACATTGATGGAGATATCTGGATTCATCTTCTTTATCTTATTAAATTTATTAAATATTTGCGAACAAATTGAAATGAGTATGAGGATTCCATCTAGCTTAATGATATCTAAGTATTTTCTAAGACTTTTTGCGCTAAATATATGTCTTCCTAGATAATCTGTAATTCCATTCTGATCTGCAAAATAGCAACCTAATGCACCTTAGATACATTTTTCAGATAATGCATTTGTTTCCGGATCAATGAGAACTTGATTATCTGGATTGATAGTGCATTTTTTATTGCCAAGTCTCTTAGGTGTAGGCTCATAGGATCCTCCAGTGGATCGATGATAAGTATAAGATTCTATTAGTACCATTTCTAGTCGGAGAAGGATTTTACCAGACTTTTCCTTCAAGTATTTTTCGATCTTTTCATCGATTTTCTAGCAGATTTTGATATATATTTATCTATATCATTCTCTAAAAGAAGTATATGCTGATCTCTTCTATGATATGGATGGTAATAGGTCTTTTCATAGTTTTTTTATATTTGTTATATCACCACTTCCAAAATATTTGTATTTCATATACGTTGCATATACGACTATTGCAGATTTTATTTGATCCTTCCTATTGAGCTCTTCTTTAAGAACATCTGTAATTTGCTTATGTGCTGATGCAATTAATTGGACATGTATAAGGCATCTGCATATTCTATTTCACTATTTTGTTGCTTATTAAAAGCATATGCAGGATTTTTGTTTGATGCGACAATCCCTTCCCATGTTGTTAAATGTTTTTAGGAAGTGTATGCTTTAGCTGAATCACGCTTTCTTTCTAAGAATTTTATCTCATCATGAGGAGGCTCAACTATTACTTCTTTTACTTCATATGTCCCTATAGCCTTAATTTCCCCTTTTCATGATAAATTGATCGAAAATGTTCCCTTGAAGCATACTTCTGAGCGTCACTCTTTTGTTCTTTGACCTGTGAGGTGGTAGCTAACCCTTCTCTAAAAGCTTGGATTGCTGGCTTGATCTTGCTTCAGAATCAGAAGTTAGGTTAACTATCTGAGCATCTTGTCACTTAATCATACTAGGGTCAACTACTTTTGGCTTCTCCTTTCTTCGATCCTTTCCTCGAATATAGACTATTAGAGTAGATGATTTGGGTCTAGGAGGTGGAACATGTGTTGGTCAATGAATAGGATTTAATTGCTTACACTTAAACTTCCTATTAAGATGATTTATCATATCACGAGACTTTTTAAAGTCATCCTTTCCACATCGAGGACATTGTGGAATCATTTTAGATATATGTATATACTTTCAGTTGTTTGTATTAATAGTATAAAAACTTTTATTTAAAATAAATTATTTAATGGTAAGCCAACTAGCTTTAAGCTAGTAGTTATTATGTGATCCAGTATATTAATAGGCTTTGAGATAGATCCATAGATACTTATTGGAATGCAAATTAAGGTTGAAAATTTTACACCTAGTACTAAGACATACGAAAAATTTTCACCTAATCCAATTTTTTTATACCTAAGGTGAAAATTAGCGATCCTAGCTTTATATAAAAGAAATAGCTTAATATTAGTTTACTGAATATTGAGAAATTATTAGTATACTAGAACTTGATCTAGAGCTTTTAGACTTTCTTATACACATTTAAAAATTTACACTTATGAACAGGCATAGGTATAAATTTTAGTATTGCTAGCTGATAATGAATCAACTTTAGAATTAATTTTAGGATATCATGAAATATGATATGCATTTTAGGCTTACATGGTCAGATCCAACTCAAATAATGTCACTTTGTTTCTTGATTTTCAATGGATTCTCTGAAGGCAAGCAGAATAGCATAAAAGTTATTATTCATATTGGGTTTGCAATGTTAGGCCCAGCTCAAATTGTGTCACTTTGTTCCTTGATTTTCGATGACCCTTCCTAAGGCAAATAGAATAGTAAATTTTTTTTGATATATTATTTGGGATTAAAAATGGGCTAGAACAGTTAAAAAAGATTGTATTCTTTTTAACTTCTGAAGCCTAGATTTTATACCAAGAAGAGTTTGTTAATAGAATTTGAGCCACAATTGCGCTGGAGGCTTAAATTCAATAGTTGATTCATATATGCTAGAATAGATTGAAAAAGGGTTTGGAGATCTATTTTGGGTATCATATGATTTTGACTTCAGAACCCTCTCATATTGGCCCTACTACTTCAGTTTTATTAATTATTATTATCATCATAACTTTCGAACTATTTTATTAATATAAAATATTTTTGAAGCTGCAATGGTATTTTTCACTAGTTTTTCTAAAAAAAAAAACAGTTTTTGAATTTACAGATATATTTTTTTATTATAGTTTTTTAATAAAAAAACTTCTCTAAAGTCATAGCACCATTTTGTATTATAGTTTTTTAGTAAAAAATATCTCTAAAATCACAGAGAAATTTTTTACTTTAGTTTTTTAATAAAAAATAACTTTGAAGTTGTAAAAGCATTTCTAATTATATTTTAGTAAAGCAAATAAAATCCTATAAATAAGTAAGAATATGCATCTTAGTATTATGAAAGTTACGCAATTTTATAAGTTATATAAAATGCAAAAATTTGAGATGTTTATTTAGCTAAAAATATTAAAGGATGATGAATAACTTAAAATACAACTTGCAATTGAAACTTATTCCTATATATGTAATCCATCTATCTTTCTAAAAAATCATCTGTTCTATAATATTTTTTTTATTAGAATTAATTAAATATGTTATAATCATATTGAGTAAGTATATTATTTATGTAAGATTCAATATTTATCAATTTGTTATTATTTGATGAAGCAGATAAATTGGTAAATTAGATAAAAGGAGTAAAACCAAATGGCAAACTATTTACCTTAATTCTTGTTTAAATAAGGGATTACATTAGTTTATAAAGGTAAATACATGTTAGAAAATAAAAAACTGTAACAAATTAATTGTAAATTATAATATTTTTATGTTTAAATAAAGTAAATTACTTTTATAATATATATATTTAATTGAATTGTATCCTAAGTAATACATATTTTTTATATATCTAAAAAAAATATAAATAGCAAAAAATATTCCTATTATTTTTTTGAAATTATCATGATATATAATTTTCAAGTTATTTTTTTTTGAGTTCACCTTATATTTTAGAAAACTAACATTAAATAAAGATTTAAATTATAATAACCTAATTTAAAAATAAAAATTATAATTTATTAGAGTATTATCAGATATTATCTAAAGAGATTTTAGATTATGTATGATATTATAATTATATAATAATAGTATTCATAAAAATGGTTTAGCAAATTTATTTAAATATATATTATTATATTTATAATATACAATAGCTTCTAAAAAAAACGCAAGTAGAGTTACTTGCTTTTAAAAGCTTATAGCTTACTAATCATGAATGCTAAAGAAATGATTTTGTATTATTTTATATCTCAAAACCCAAATAACATTCAATAAAAATTTGAAGTACAATTAATAGACCAATTTTGCGCAATTTAACAATCTACATCAAATTTATTTATTTAATAAAGTTTAAATGTAGAATATTTTTCAGTAGGCTGGCTATACATAAAATCGAAATAAAAACCCAAAAGTCAAAATATTTTGACTTTGAAAGTTAAAAAGTCAAAAGGGTTAAAATGATATCATATCACATGATTTTTCATATAAAAAAAATTCCAAAAAAATAAAAATATATGATCTTGGTCAATATTGCTCTGATTCATATGAAACTACTACCATTCGTTTCCTTGCAATTAGATGGATCTAATGAGCTAACATTTATTGATTTTAGATTAGCTTTTTTTTAAAGACGCAGTAATGCATTTATTTATTATAAGAAATTCATAATCAGTTAAAATAACATAAAAATCCTAAAAAAGGGTACAAAAATAGAAAAATAA